ACACTACTATAACTGAAACAAATAACTACACATGCTGTCCTACGAACACAGTGGGGACCACTGCTGTGGGGCCCACATCAGTGTTCTCTACAATGCACAACCACGACTAAGCCTTCACAGCATCAGCCAAAAAGGAGAAAGGAAGCTTCACAACATCGGCCTCCTCCTACTAGGGTTACCTTGACGCTACGACCAAGGAAGAACCCAGAAAAAAAAACAAGTAGTTCTTATTAGACGATTAGGGTTTCTTGTCCTCACTGTTCAGGAAATCAGAAATCTGGGTTGAATGGATATGATTCAGAAGAGAAAACGACTCCTATTGCCCAGATTTGTGCTCTTATACCATGTTTTCTCACAAGAATAGAGAGAGAGAAGAGAGAGGAGAGAAGATAGGAGAAGAGAAGGGGAAGAAAGAAGTGTGAGAGTCAAAAAATTAGGCTGGTGGTGCCCAACTTCTCTTTTATAATAATATGATGTAACAAATAAAGAAAAGAAATTACAAGTAAAGAGAGAGGGGAGGTAGAAAGCCTAGCTAGATTGTTGGGTTGTGAGGTAGGAGACTGGCCTTTACAATATTATGACCAATTACTATGAAAAAGTCAAATAGTTCTTTAGGAGTTTTATCTTTTTATGACAAGTGCTTTTAGGAGCTTTATTCCACTTAGGTATGTTTTGAAAAAGTTAACTTTATTATTGATAAAAAAAACAGTTCACTTTATTTTACTTACGGATACCTTTAGGCAGTTACTTGATAGTAAAACATCATCTAGGATCAGAATTTAAATCTGCCAATAAATAAGGAGAAGTTTGTGTTTTTTAATCTGAAGTGTACAGCTATTCATATCCACATTTATACAGGGTCTTCATTGTATTTTGTCTTTATGATTTTAATGAAATACTTTACCTTACAGTTTAAAAAAAAATACATCTGCATTTGTCTTCTTTGATTAAGTATGTACCTTCTATTAACAAATTAAGGGCAGCACTTAGAGGACTATCCAGTTGTAATGTTGTTAATTGGCACCCATTTGCTCTTCCCGCTTCTGACACCCATGCACCCAAAGGAAGCCTGCCAATAGGTTTTTGCAGAAGAGGAAGAACTCCACGAGAGTATCTCAAATGCCTGCAAATATCTGGAATTTTGAGGGAAAACATAAGCCATAAAAAAGAGCATAAATGATAGTGACAGAATAAGCCAGGATAAGCTGGAAATATGGCGCACATTTTAATATTCCCGATAGGCATGCAAGGTGTAGTAACTGTGATGATGACCCATCTTGTGATGAATGGATGATGGGAATAACTGATATCTTATTCCGAATAATCTTCAAAGCTACATCTTGTAGAGACTCATGTGGACCAGCCTGTAGATATCAGGATACTGGCATAAGTCGTAAAGATCTAAGATTGATATAGAGATTCTTTTATTTCTTTTTCTTCCTTTTTTTGGTGATCAGTAAGATGATAAGAAGATTGTTGATTAGAGATGATCAGGTAAGATCAATAATATCCTCAAATCACTAGTTGCATAGACACCAGAAGATAAGTTAAAAGATTTGTAGTTCAATCTTTTTTTTTTTTTTTTGATAGATAACAACAAAATTTTATTAATGTAAACAGAATAATATATACAAAAATTAGCCTCCCAATGGGAGGTGGATAAACCTACCCCACCCAAAAGCGATTAATTACAACTGAGCCCAAAACAAGTACCCCTATTAACCCCTTGTTTGGCTAGTGTATCAGCCAACCTATTTGTATCTCTTGGTAACCATTGCATTTTAAAAAGTCCTTGTTACCGGGTTTTGGAAATAAGCAGGATAAGTCCTGATTATCTCCCCTTGCATCATATTTCAGCTTCATATTAGTAGAGGGTGAAGTCTCCCCCTGCATTACCCTTTTTAGTCAGGCATATAACATCACATCATATTGATAGAATCAGTTTAGCAGAGGTTAATGTTGAGATGAATAGACAAAAAGACTAGAAGCAATACACTAGAAACCTATGCTAGGCAGTATAGTTGAAAGCACAGAAAGCCATACAAAGGCTAATGAAAGTGAAGCAAATGCCTCTTCGAAAAAGCATAAATACAAGAGGCGTGCACCTCAGTTCATTCAGTTGTTACTGAAGTTAAATATGATTAGTATCTGTTAATGGGGCACTTATTCATAACATTACATAGAATATACTTACCATGCCATCAGGTACATGTTTATAACTGTATATTGCAAACGAATCATCGCTTTTTGGAGCAACTACATATGAAAAGCTGGAGGAAAAACCTGATGCGACCCACTTGAGTACTAGACAAATAGAACTTACAGTGATTATTCTTTTCAAGAATGGTTACAGTCAATACAATTTTACTCCAGATTTTCCCTCTCAACACTTTTGATCCAAGTAAGAAACAAATCTCAGAAATGCCTAGCTTCTACGTTGCTCAGTTATAGCAAAAGAACACCCTGCAAAGCTACCACCAGGGGTTTGCTATCCTCCTATGCTTCCATCTTCCAAAATTTCCTTATTCTTGTTATTAAGGCCTTTGTGCAGGACAAAGCAGCCATTAGCTACTAATCTAAATGAGAATGAAGCTGCAATATGTTCTTATAGTCCATTGAAAACCACTCAGTTTCCTTTTCTATGATGTTCTTTATATTTGGGACTAATAAAATTATCTGAATTATTTCCACCATGAACCTAAATTTTGCTAGATTGTTGAATAAAGCTAATAGGTCATTTAAATATTTTATGCATTTTTGAAGTTCTGTTTTTTATATTTTTCTAAAAGTTGGGTAATTAAGTGAGGTGCAGAGGTCACTTGAGTGACCATGCTCTTCATTTTGTCCTTCGAGCCTCAAAAGACAAAAGACACTACAATCTGAATGCTTTTTCCACTATAACTGAACTGATTGGCAACAAATGGAAACCCCTTATTAGGGTGGAGTTACCCTTGGTTCTTTTTTTTTTGTTTCTGCACTCCACTGGGGCTTGTACTTACCCCATTACTCTTTTACAATTTCTATTGATTATTTCCTCTTCATATAACAAACATATTTCTGTTTCCAATCATAGTTGTCAAGGTGATACCTAGGCGACTAGGCGGTTTTCCATGGTCGCCTCGTCCAAACGCCCTGGATTTTGTATACTAGGCGCCCGCCCAGAGACTTAAGCAGGCGCCTACATACATCTAAGATTTTTTTTTTTAAATTTATTTAGATGTTTTATTCTTTTAAAATAAAACCGGTTACATGCTATCATTTTATTATTAAGACAACAATACAAAGATTTTTTCTTTTATTTATGCATAACATAAGGGTATTTTCGGAGAGGGAGGAGAACCGAAGACTTCTTCTCAGTCGCTAGTCCTAGTCTCATTCCCTTTTTTTTGAAAAAACAGGGGCTCCGCTCCTACACTCCTCTCCGCCCCTGACTGTTATCAGTCGATAGTCTCAGTCCCTTTTTTATTTGAAAAAACAGGGGCCTATACTCCTCCCTGCCCCTAATCCCCTATACTTCTTCTTCTTCCGCCCATATACTCCTCTCCTCCCTTCTTAGTTCCTGCACTTATTCTTTTTTTCAGTTAATAGTTAGTGTACATGCTTGCTAGTTAGCACACAAAACCAATAAAATAGCTTAGAAAAGTATAGATTAAGTAAAACTCAAGAAAATTAACATTTTAAAATTCCAACACCTAGGCGCCTTGGTGCCCTGTGGTCGCCTTGGCGCCTTGAAAACTATGTTTCCAATCAAGAGAAAACAAAATTGGCAATGAAACTAACTAAATTGAGATACTGTAACAAAGATACAAAGGTCAAATGCACTACTAAGGAATGCGTAGTGAACCCGCCTGAACTCAGTCTTAATCCCAACAATTTGGTGTTCAGCTATACAAATCCTATCCAGCCATTGTGCTCTATCAAGAACCATGTTTTCTGTCAGATTTTAAATCTTTAAGGGTCTGTTTGGTTCACAGTTGGAAATGGAATCAGAATCCCTGTTAGGGAAGTGGTTGTGGAGATGGCCTTTGGAGCGGGATAGACTCTGACACGAAGTAGTGAAGAGTATTCATGGATGTTCAGATAGTGGTTGGGATACTGGTGCATCAAAGAGGGCTAACCTAGCCACACCTTGGAAAGCAATTCACAAAGTTCTTCCACAGTTCCTTAGCTGTGTCAGGTATGATGCTTGTTTAGGTAATTCTATTCGGTTTTGGGAGGACATTTGGGTTGGAGATCTCCCTTTGAAAGACCTTTTTCCTTCATTGTACTCTGTTTCCTTGTATAAAAATGAGGTGATCTCAAAATTCCTTCCGTCGAATTTATCCTTACCAACTTT